TCGTATGCATAAAGCTTTTTTGAGTCAACAAATGTAGGGATTAATTTTTTTTGCTATCCACATTAATTGATTATTGATGAGAGGCGGGTTTTATGATTTTGACTTTAGTAATTGAAAAGAAAAAATACATTAATCATGGAAATAGAAAATTCAGAGGCCCATTTTCTAAAACCAAAAAAATACAATCAGAGATGCATGATATTGAAATTCTAGGGTTTTCTTATGCAAATTTGCACAAGTGCTTGTTTGTGGATTGAAATCAAGAGCCGAGGATCCTAAACCATGTCAAGACCTATCAAGTAAGAATTAGTCCTGAGCTACAACACACTATGGAAGTCTCGGTGTGTGGAATCAATCGATTAGCGAAGTGTATCTAAGGGATAACATAAAGTTAATGAAAAATGTAAATTGATATGGAATAAAGTTAATGAATAAAACATGAAGCGTGTGATTTAAAATATAAAATATGAAAATATAAAGTTTGTCGTTTAATTTTTTAAATTGTCTAAGTCAATAAGTCGTCTTTCAGATTTAAGTTTTTTAGTCACTTTTTTATTTATAATTTTTATATTATTTTTTTATGAAACCTTGGATTTTTAAAATTTCATAATGAACACAAAAGTTGATTTCTTGATAAGGACATCCACGTTGCAAATCATGAAATTTTGTTTATAAATAAGTAATTATTTAGCTTTTAATATTGTAGGTTCTTGAATGAGATTAATGTCTCTTTTTCCTTTTTTTAATATAAGCTTTGCAACTAGATGGTTTTCGTAATGAAAGAGACATTGATTATATACTGTAAAATAACATTTCCTCGATCGAGTCCGTCGCACCGGGAATGCCTAGTGCAGTTTACATTTCCTGTGTGGTTTACGAGTTACTGCACATGGAGCGGGGTTTACCTAGTGCGTACTCACAGTGGTCGGGCATCCGTCCCTTCGGGGTGATTGGAGCTCCGTTAGTGAGTAGCAACTGCGGGTTCCTATCTCAAAAAATAAAAACATTTTTTTAAACAATGTATTGTAACATAGCATGAGAATTCATCATTTCGACTACTACAATGAAACTAAAAGACTTGAGAAT